AACAGATGCAAGATCTTTTTTTCTCTCTTCTCTCCGGAAATCTGGCTTTCCGATGAAAATACATACATTAAAAAAAAATAAGTAAACATCCTCTCTTTAAAAACAACATCTAATAAACAGGTCTATTTTAACTATGACAGATTATGTAAGACTATTTTTACATGTCTTTCACCTTGACAAAGCGTTCCTGGTACTGAATGTATACACTGCTACTTCTGATTTAAGGTATTCCTTTCTTCAAGAAAGTTCTTTTCCATCTTCCCTTTCCTGGTCTAAATATTGCCAATTCATATTTTGGCAGACAGACACAGAGAGCTCATTTCAAAATACCTTCAATAAACAGTCTGAAGCAAGGGACTCCATGTGGGTCTCCACCTGGCTAGCAGGGATCCGAGCGTTTGAGCCTTTACTTTTGCCTGACAGCTAGGTTGGATCAGGAGTACAGTCATGTTCTAACTGGGGACTAGGATGTGGGATGTGGGTATCCCCAAAAGTAACTGAACTTGTAATTATCATGCCAAAAGCCTTGACCCACAAGAACTATTTAAAGTCCATTCTTCAAACTTCAACCTTCGGAAAGCCTTCTCCAACCTTCCCAGTCCAAAGTTCTCTTTCTCACGTTTCAAAGGGATCTGACTCCACTGATCACCATGTCAGGGAGGTATGTGTTCAGATACAATTGCTTCGGAAAGCATGATCTGCACCAAATTCATCTCTGTGCAGTCCTAGGTATGCACTGAATAAGCAAAATCTCCAGTATATTATTTTAATCAAAAAAATTTGTTTTCAAGTTTATATTTCCAATATGTATCTGAAAACATTATGCTCTCTAAACATTCAAACTAACAATCCTTAATATACTTTGTTCTTGCTTTCTTCCACTGCTCTATCACAGTAGAAGTTGTATGTTAAAAGCTCTCAGCCAACACGCAGGTAAACAAATACCTGTGTTAAGAAGTGCTAAGGACACCAGAAGGGAAAGTGAAAGAAACAATTAAGAAATAATACTAATTTGTTAAGTGTTGATATAAAGCAACTTAACTGTATACTGTCACTGCAGTGGAACAGGATGCTAATGGGCATCTCAAGCAAATACTGCACAATGAATTGATATTTTAGGTAGCGATTCTTAAGAGAAGTTTTACATTTTTAGAAAGAAGAGCTGAGCTATCGTTTTTCCTCTTTTTCAGGCAGAGGGGTTGTCTAGGTAATTGTAAGCAGTGACACAATCCTCATCTACTCGTCTACATTTCAGATACCACTAAGCTTTCTGTTACTGAGGCATATAATAAGCCAACTACTGTCAGAATTTGGACTGTTGAGATGGTAAATCCTAGCTATGTAGTACAGAAGTAAAAATCGTAGTACAATGATTCAGCATAGTGCTTGGTACATTAAGAATTAGACATCTATTTTTCTAGAAGAAATCATACGAAGGCACGAGAAGACATAACCCCAAGAAAGAGCAGCAAAATATTACAATAATTTTAGTGAGCTGATCATCAACTTGCAAACAGCTATTGGGTAAGAGTCTTAGTCTTTGTACTTATCTTCTAATTATTTGTATCTGAACTATATTCACCTTTCTGTCTACAATCTCAAACTATGCTTCTAGACCTTCAAATCCCACTTACTACTTCCAATATTTTATGCGATTATTGCAACTAGCACTGCTATTCTGAGTTTCTCATAGTTCTATCATCTATGTTATATAGCAGCAATTGATAAAGTCCCTTATAGTTCAGAAACAAAAGCCTAATTTCCCTAAATGAATTTTAAGACAAGAGTATATGTTTGCTCTTTTAGACCCTTCTTAGCACGATACGGGGAAAACACTTAAGATATAGACAAATAACCCTTCATCTCCTCCTACACTCATGGTTTAAACTATTTATTAAGAAACTTTTTACTAACTGAATGATGGACTTATGACTGCTTATGAAGTACTATACTATTGTCATAATATGAGGGAAATAAGTTGGGGGGATTATAGAGAGGGGGTAGGGGAAATCCCAGAGCCTATGAAATTGTACCATAAAATAGAGGGAAAAAAAAGAAAATTTTTACATTATAAAATAAAAAACACAAATTATCACCCATGAAAAGGTAGTGAGTGCTCTTCATTCAATAATCAATGTGTAAGCAACCTACCGTGAGTTGAATTTATGCTATCTTATTCTGTTCACTTAATGACTAATACTATGATACAACAAAGGTAGGGATAAACGCACATGATATACATGAGATTCTTTCATGCCAACTTTTTTACAACCTTTATTTACTACTTAAAGAATATAAAATGTATATTGCCCAACTTATTTCACCAGGAGACTTTTCTTTTCCTTAAATATAAATTGAATCTCACTACTACCACTGTTCTGAGGCACGTTTCAGAAATAGCTGGATCAGGCCTAGAGCGATGGCTCAGGAAGTAAATCCTGGCCTTGCATGCACCAGGATCCCACATGGACACCTGTTCATGGACCAGCTACTTCTCTTCCTATCCAGCTCTCTATTTATGGCCTGGGAAAGCAGTGGAGGATGGCCCAAAGCCTTGGGACCCTTCACCCACATGGGAGACCTGGGGGAGGCTCCTGGCTTCAGATTGGCTCAGCTTCGGCCATTGAGGCCACTTGGGCAGTGAACCAGTAGATAGAAGATCTTTCTGTCTGTCTTTCCTTCTCTCTGTAAACATGCCTTTCCAATAAAATAAATCTTTAAGAAAAAATGATTGGATTTTCAATATCCCTAGCAACATATACACTAAAAACTAAGATGTTATCAGTGATTAAAAAACAAGAGCTATACATATTTCTGTGAAGATACACTTTATTGAAAAACTATGAAATCATAAGTTAACATGTTTTATATTATTCAGTACTTCATAAGATAAAATAGAACATATTCATTTATATAATAAATTTGATTTAAATTTAGCATTACTATTTAAGCATGAAGACATAAAGGTTTACCATATATGGTACATGAGAAAGGAGATAGGATGTTGACTTCTTCATTGCAAAGTTTTCTTTTATGATAGAGTACAAAATACATTTTCATCAAAGGCTGTCTTTGTGACTTTAGCTTTGTTGACTTTTTATTCCTGCTTTCTGTGTCTGAATTAACATTTTTTATTCTGCATGATGTAAAAAAATACAGGAAAGCAGGTAGTATCTAAATTCTCACTTCCTGGAACAACAACTGGTAAGTCCGTATTATTTGATTGGTTTTTCTAATACAGAGTGCAACAGTGACTATCAATACTTTTGTCATTCATTCGAAGTGCTTCTTGAAGAATGACTGCTGGCACTGCATTAAGCACCGAACAGTGAAAAAGCAGTCACATGAACTATTGCTATGGAGGAAAACAATCAAATAATCACAGAAATAATTATAAACTGTAGTGTTATGAAAATAAAGTATCAACCAGTCCTTTTTTATTTAGAATTCCATGAAAGAAGTGACTTCTGCTAATAATGATGTGATTATTTTCTCAATTCTTTTAAGACTAGAACACAGACAATACCATCTTAAAAGTGCAGATGTTTGATTCATTATGAAGAGCTAGCCAGACATTGTGAGAAAAGAACTGACTTAGTCTTTAGTGGTTGTAGGTGAGGAGTCAGTAGAGAAAGACAGTTACCTAAGTAATGTTTACATTGAAAGAAGATTTTGTAAATTTCTGTAGGTCATGGCTGGGTGGGATAACAGTGTGAAATGCTGAAATGTTGCCTTCGCAGGAATAGCATACCTCAAGTTTCTCAAGGATACAGGATCAGGGCAATTATGGAAAATTATGATGACCAATACTGCAAATATACACAGAGAACAAGGGTAGAAAGGAATAATAAATCTTAGCTGGGAAAGACTGGCAGGTAAGCAGGGATCACAATGACTTAATGTCATGGCATCACAAAGATCTCTGCGGCTGTAATAGCCTGCAGAGATGTAAGAGGACGAGGAAGACCAACATGAGAGAAGCAATCATAGCTTGGATTAGGGCAATGATGGCATGGATGGAGAAACATAGACAAGTGCTACTTAGAACATAAAGGAAGGGATAAGGTGGTTAGGGGTATGCCAGGACACCCTGTAAGTTTTGTAAGCTTGCTGCTGCTGAAAATGCTGGAAGTCTGGAGACCATGCATTCATTTTGGATTTGAGGTAGCCTTGAGATACCAGAGCAGAATATTAAGAAGATAGCTGCTTATATGAATCTGGAGTAAGGAAAAGGGAGTTGACTTGAAGAAAATGTGGGGAAATAGGTAGGAATCCTTAGAAGCCATCAACCTTGGGCAGCACAAAACAAACACAAACATATACAATGTGTGTCTGAAATGTAACACAAGATGACATACACAAAGGCTGAAAAATAGTGCAGAAAAGTGATATAAAATGGCCTTAACTATTTTTCAGACTTACATGAAAAACTGCTAAAAATGAGTATAGCAAATAATAATCTACACAATATGCTATCACTGCTGTAAAAATGTTACCTCTTGTCTTAAGAGTTCTAGTTTATCTGATAAAAGGATATAGTCAATCACTAAGCAATTTCTGATATTTTCAGATGCAAGATACCCATGTATACACTCTTTCCCTCTCTTTTTAATGGCATTAAGCATTTTTATGACTGGCCCAACTTCAAATCATATTTTCGCTTCACTCTGGATAAACATAGATAATATTAGCAAATATGAGAAATCCACTACTTGTTTATATAATTACCAAAAACTAAATTCTAAATTACTTTATCATTGAATGGTTCAAGCATACAGAACACTGAATTTTCACTTCACTGATTTTAAAAATTTTGATAAAAGTGAAACACCAAATAAAGCCTTTACAGAAAGGAAATTCCTTGTTATGCTTTACTAAAGAGGAAAAATTATTATGCATTTACTGTATACATTTGTGTTTTAATAACTGTAGTCCTAGATTTATTCTTTAAATTAAGGCGGTTTTTGGAAGGTTTTCATTACCACTTATTTATTACATACCAGTTAGCAATGTCCTTGTGAGCTACTAAATTTTGAAGAAATGCTTGTAATCCTAATTGTCTATCTTCTAAAAAGTCAGCACTGTAGTTATTCTTAAACCAGCGCTTTGGTGGAAGTGCTAACCGAAAGCCTGGAAACATTTCTTTTAACTGGAAGAGAAAAGAGAAAATGCAATGTTTAACACAATTTACATGACCTTTACAAAACTATCCAGTTGATTATGTGAAATCACTAAGCCTTTGTATCTCCATTTTAGTTCTTGATTTCTGTCAGTTGTATAAAAGAGTTTTAGGTGCTGTGTATCCTGGCCAAAACTTGGCATCTTCAATATTTTAGTGTTAACCATTAAAGTGAATGTGCAGTAGCATTTCACTGTGGTTGTAATTTGCAAAATTCATACTTATTTGTAAAGGTATCACAATGCTTATACAGTGTCCTAAGTAACAATGCCTACATTATTCATCCAACTTCATCTTTGCTTCCAGCAGGCATTATCTCACATCATCACAATCGCTGAGAACAGTGCAATATGGGAAAGACAGAACACATTCATAGAATTTTTAGCACAGCATATTGCTAAAACTCACATTTTGTTTAATCGTTAAGTTCTTAGTGTTCCTAATTTTAAAAAACAACTTTCATGACAGATAAGTCTATAGAGGGTCTGTACTACCTGCAGTTTCACACATCCGCTAAAGTTTTTGGAATCCATCTTCTGAGGATTCAAGGGATTTTTCTGTGGTCAATGGTCAGAGACACTTGCTAATTTCAAGTGCCCAATTTAGATTACCCAGCATATTTGCTGGATTTAAATCAAACTATTACTAACTTCTTTCTTCAAAAACATTTAAGAAGTCCCTAAGAATTGGCAGCTGAGATCTGAGTTGTCCGAGGATTAAACAGCTCCAAACCAAAATTTTGTGAAGTTAAACTGATAAAGAAAACCATTGAATTTTTATATAAAACATAAAATTTCACTTAAGTATCTAGTATTTTCCTGATGCTCAAAGTAAATAAAATTCATATATAGGTATACTAGAAACAACACTTTCTGTCTTTTTAAAAACTTTAAAAAAAATTTATTTGAAAGGCAGAGACAGGAGGAAACACACAAGAGACCTTTCCATTTGCTGCTTCACTCTCCAAATGACTGCAACAGCCAGGGGGCTTGGCCAGGCAGAAGCCAGAAGCCAGGAGCTTCTCTTGGGTCTCCCATGTAGGTGCAGGGGCCCAAGCACTTGGGCCATCTTCCACTGCTTTCCCAAGCACATTAGCAGGGAGCTGGATTGGAAGTGGAGCATGGAAGTGGGTTCAAACCAGCATCCAATGGCATGCTGTTGTCATGCGTGGAGACTATGCCACAAAGAGAGCCGCTAGAAGTATCATTTTCAGCATCCTTTACTGGAAATTTTTGGCTTCAAGGAGTGTTATGGATTTTGCAATGTCTGCAGATGTAAGGGTACATTCTTCAAAAAGTTAGTGAAAAACGCAGGTTTAAAAAATTATTTATTTTGGTGAAAGTTTGAAAATAATTTTTTCATAATATGTGTTCTCAAAGAGAACCTATTATATATATAATGAGAAATTTTGAGAATAAGGCTCAAATCTAAACATGAAATTCACCTTATGTATATTGCTTGATGGTAATTTTGCATGGTGTTTTTAGTGTGTTTCTGTGCAACTATAACGCAGTATACTGGATGCTGTATGGGATTTTCCACTGGTTAGTGTTCTATCACTAATCAGACAGTTTCAGATTCTGCAGCATTTTACATTTGCTATTTTCCGATTACGTGCTGCAATAATATATTACATAATACATTGTACTAAAGCATGTTAATCACAACTTAAAATAAAGGATAAGATAGCTTAAAATTCTGCAATTTGCTTTGTACCCTCGAATTTTTTTGAGGAATTCAATAACAGTCCAGAAGACTGCATTTTAATGTTTCATATACATATGGTGGTGAGAAAGACAAACTATCATTAACACTGTAAAACCACATAAATGGGCTTCCAAACAGTGTACTTACGTAGATCTAGGAAGGATAAAAGGGAAGGTTGCCAATGGGACAGAACAGGACTTGTGGTCTTTTATTAATCATGTGACAAAACTGGGGAGTAACTTCTGGATGTTCTAAGGTCATGTGACCTCTCAGAAGCATCATAAAGCAGCTATTTCTGGAGAAATGGTCCAACATGGTAACCACCTCCCACCTGCTCTATGTGATTTCCTTGAAGCTCTGCTCTTCATTCTCTAGTTGAACTGTAATCACTTAGGCGATTCCTCTTATTTAGAAATTTAGGCTGTTTCCAAATTTTTCATTGTTAAAATTAAGGAACCCAGTAACAATAAATAAAACATTATGATAAATATCATTACAACTAAGCCTCTGATTTGTGACTGCTGACATAGAAGTAGGATTACTGTGTCAAAATAATGTTAAATTTTATGGTTTCCTATGAGAAGACTTATATTTATAAACACCAGGATATACCATGTAAATGTCTGCCAACTTGACAGGTGAAAAAAAATGTTTCTTAACTTTCTAAGAGTATTTTGGATATTAAATGTTTTTCAGGTTCATTTGTGTTTTACACATTTTCCAAGAATTACCCTATTCACATCATTTGTTGTTTTTAACTTCTGAGTTTATTGGTTTTTAAGAGTTCTTGGGGTTTACCATTATTTTCTTTGATGCACACGTGCAGTAGGTAGAATTTCAAAGATTCTATTACCTTTGACTCTGGTACTGTCTTTTGTGATCTTGTTATGTTAAAAGGAAAAAGGAATGTTGCAGCTACAACTAAGGTTCCTAGTCCCATGCTAAGACAAGGGAATTGTCTGGGGAGCCTAATCTTATCACATGAGTACTTTACAGTGATTCTGGCTGATGGGGATCTGTATATAAGGAGCAGAGAGGTCTGCATGCAGTAAAAGCAATCTTGGGTTGACAGTTAGGAAACCGTGATCTTGGTTCTCTTATTTCAAGGAACTAAATTATGCCCACAATCTGAATAAGCTTGGAAACCGATTCTTCCCTAGGTACTCCAGATTAGGAATTCAACCACGCCAATAGCTTGGTTGCAAAGCAATCGAGCAATATAAAGACAGAGAGGTAGGTAAGATGGAGAGATTGAATGAGATCTTCCATCATCTGATGAGAGAGACTGACTGAGATCTCCCATCATCTGGTTCACTCATTAGATAGCCAAAACAGCCATGGTTGGGCCAGGCCAGGAAGCCAATCCTGGTTCTCCCACGAGCTGGCAGAGGCCCAAACACCTGGATCATCTTCTGCTTCCTTCCTGGGAGCACTCAGATCTCTCTTTCCGTCTTCTGTAAGGACACGTACTGGTACTACGACATGGGATGCCAACGTTGTAAGTAGTGGCTTAACTCACCACACCACGATGGTCTTTGGTTACGTTCCACAGAAATGGAAATGCTAAGATCTTGTTCATTTTTAAGTAGTCACACAAGTTAAGGGAATTTATATGAACAGCTTTTTTTTTTAATGCTCATAACATAATCACTTATATTTCTATTAGCAACTTTAATTCTCTACTTTCACACTAAAATGTTTATTCATAAAAATAAAAGTTAATGTATAAAGATGAGAAATACAGTACACCAAAAATGGAATTGTTTAATACTCTAAAAGAGTTAAAGTGACATTATTCCATATTCTTAATTACTCCAAGTCAAATAAGCAAAATGTTCAGAAAAAATTCAAATACAACAAAAAATGTTGCAGAATACACAATAAGACAAAGCTGAAAAGTAAGTCTGATATTTATTAAAGCACTCACTTTGTCATTCAGCCTCGAGAAGTCAGTGTATCTTCTGAAAACCACCCAGCTTTCTTCTGCAGTTTTCTTTACTAGTATTTTATACACCTGTTGAGTCAAAAAAAGGTGAAATATTTTTAAGAATGAATACTGATAAGCCAGACTACAGAAATCATTATGTAACAAACAGCAGCAATCAAGGACATCGCCACAGGTACACATAATGCAAGCACCAAGCCAGGATTTTTTCTTAACATCCACTTGACAAACTTAATAAAGCAATCATTAGCTAAGAAAAAAGTATTTTATACCAACAATTTCTGAAATTACAAAAAAATTCTGTGTGAAGAAGCTATGAAAAAGCTACATTTATTCCATAGAATTTCATTTTTAAATTTAGTAACTATTGAGGAAAGTTTTCAAATAGGCTCATGTTTTAATCAAAGGTGAAATACAAAGAAAACCTATACATCAGATAAAATTTTAATTTTCGTAATTACGTGGAATTATGTAGGTTATTAATAGGCACCAATTGAAGCAAGTCAACATATTTAAAAACACATAGTAAGAAAAATTAGATTCTATTTTAGAAGGTACCATTTTAAAACTCACCCCATGACAGAATCTCTAATATTTTGCATTTACTGAAAGTAGAAAATTCTCTTTAAAAATGCATTACTTGTAAGGGAGGAGAGGGAAGGGAGACATTGACCTGTATCCCTGCGCCGTCATCTGCTTCCTCCCAAGGAACACACTAGTAGCAAGCTGCAGTTGGAGCAGTCAGGACCCTAACCGGGCATTCCAACACCAGGGATGAGAGTCCCGCGTGCTGGGCCAAATGCATACAACAACTGCTAGCTTTGCAGCAAGAGACAGGCATGTGTAGAACATATATGCATAGGGAACGAGATTATCTCCAAATCTTTTAAACAAGATTATTTACTTTGATAATGAAACTATGGTATGCTTTTTTTTTCCTACAGAATACTACTCAGCCATAAAAAAGAACGAAATCTTGCTGTTTGCAACAAAATGGACCTGACTGGAAATTGTTATGCTTGATGAAATCAGCCAGTCCTCAAACACAAATATTGTATGTTCTCTCTGATATGTGACAATTAATACCCAGAACACACACACATATACACACAAACCATAAACTATGAGGGAAATTAGCATACTGGGAAATAATGAATGTATACAGTATGCATCTTCACTCTTGAATAATACAATTCTCACTACTATTTTTAATTAGTTTTATGTTACATTACTTTTATTTTTATCTCTTTCCTTATACCTGTCATGTCATGAGACATTTCTATTTCAGAATGTTAATCCTGCAACAGTGAAATGAATGACTAAACTACTGCAATAACTTTGGGGACAAATAATAGGAGATACAGGGAGGGGAGACAGTGAGGGGAAAGAATAATCCCCTATATATGTAAATTGGTATTGTGGGGAAAGAAATAAACAAAAGAAAACCACAATAAAGTTACTGAGACAGATGGAGAGGCAGGGGCGAGGTAGAGAAGGATGGAGGACAGGAGGGCGACAGAGGGCTCTTCTATGTGCTGCACTCCCCAGATGCCTGCAATGGTTAGCACAGGGCCTCACTGAAGCCAAGAACTTCATGTGTCTCCACCATAGGCGGTGCAGACCAGGACACTTGGATCATCTTCTGTTGCTTTTCCCAGGGCAGTAGCAAGGAGCTGGGGCAGTTGGGACCCATAAGGAACACAGGCATACGTGGGTGGTGGCTTTCCTCACTACACAACACGGGTTCCTATTTCCCCATTCTCATACTTTGTCTTTGTAATATATAAGGCTGGGGAAACAAGATTAATTTGGATGCTCTTTATAAAGTCTGCAGAGAATCCTGACCTAACAAAATCCTAATGGGTATAAAAAGAAACTGCTTTAGGATACTAAAAAAAAAAAAAGAGAGAGAGAGAGAGAGAGAGATAAGTGGACTTAAAATGTTTTGAGCATGAATAATGGATGTACTTTGAAATTCGGTTTATCTACAAATATTGACTTGCCTTTCCTGTTTCAGAAGATGAACTCCTAGCCCCTCTCCCTCCTCCTCTCCACTCTGGCTCCTTCACATTAGTTCTCCAGGAAGAAAAAGGTCACTTTGGTGTTTCATTTCTATGAGAAAGCATTCCTTTTACCTTGCCACTTGTATAAATCATGCTTTCACTAAACATGTTACATACAGTACAGATCGCTCCCTTTCCTATGCCCTAACAGTATTTATTGCTTCTATTCTTAAAATTTACAATAAATTTACAATATTTTGTACCATTTAATCAGTGCTTGTTTTGGGACATGTATGTGAATAAATGCAGAAGCATATGTCGAACAGTAAATTATATACAAAGCAGCGCACAAACTGTGAGAGTACGCAACTTGAATTTTCGGGAGGCGAATACATCCACGGGACTAGTTCCAAGGGCAACAAAAAATGATCAGTTGAAGATACTCTCATGCCTCCTTCCCAATCCTAGTCACCACCCTTTTCAAAAATGTGCCACTGTATACCACCCGATATATAACCATACATTAAAATCCTTTTCAAACACTTGGCATACTATGTTTCCAGATCTCCGTTAGTCCTAAGATTTTCTTTAGCTAAGAGATTAATTCAAAGGGATATATGTAAGGAAAACTATTTTGTTAATCTCTAATTCCCAATCCCGAATTCCCAGTGTAGACTACTCCATTAAACTTTAATCTCTCCCTACAAACACACACACACACACATACTTCATTAAGACTATGGACAAAGGAACTAAAAGGCAAAGGTAAATATAGTCTAGTGCCAAAAATTAAGAAATCTATGTATGAGGTATCTTCTAAAAATTAAAAACAAGCAAGCAAAACCTATTTGAGAGGCAGAAAGAGAGCATTCTCCTCTGCTGGCTCACTTTCCGAATCCCTGCCGAGGCCGGCTGGAGCCAAAGCCAGAAGCTGGCGCTCGCTTCCATGGGCACAGGATCCCACCTGCCTGAGTCAGCGCAGCCTCCACCAGAGACCGTCTCCCCGGCTGTGTCTGAGTCTGCAGTGGAGGGAGGCTGGGCTCAGGAGTGAGAGAGCTGAACCCTGGACTCCAGCGTGGGCCGTGGGCAGCTTAACAACTTCCAGGCTAACTGCTGCTCCTCCAAGATCTTTTTGAAGCACCCTCATTTGCATACAGCATACAATTAATATGACTGATTTCATATCTTCCCCTTACTTCTTTCTTTCTAGTGTCTTGAAATATTTTGTTTACCTATCTCTGCAGTAAACGTGGCCATAAACTTGTAACACATACCATTTGCCTTACTCAGCCTAGGCCACTACAATAAAATACTATAAACTAAATAGTATTTAGTAAATAAATATTAGCAACAAAAATTTCTCTCAGTTTGAGAGAATGGCAAGGCCCACGCCAGGACCCTAGCAGATTCTGGTGTCTGGAGAAGGTTGGCTTTCTGGTTCACAGGTGGCACCTCACACTTTGGTCTTGCTGGTAGAAGGCGCATGACGGTCCCCTGGGGTTTTCCTGACAAGAGCAGTGACCCCATTCATGAAAGCATTGACCCTCTCCCTAAAATTCTCATCTCTGAACATCATTATGAATTCTAGATCTATAGCACAGCTTCAATGCATGTTTATACAAAAAGAATACAGGCTAAGGAAGTGTCACGAGTTCACCAAAATTTCCAAAATGATTTTCATATGAGATAGCTTCAAACAGATTTCTCATCATCTCACCAAACTTAGGATAACTTAATCCAAAAGACAGCGTCTTCATAAATTATGCCAATAGTTGTTTTTTTTTCCTGGCAGCTCCTTCCTTCCTGTCACAAATCTATAGCATGAAATGCTGAAGTAAATGTAAAAATCCTACTGCAAGAAAATCCAAGAGAATGTACTCTAAACTTACTCAGGTGAGTTTAGTCAAGTCCAACAAACATATAAACAGACAAGGTCAAAATATATAAATTATCAATGAACAGATAAAAAGCAAAAAGGTATTCCTCACAGGAGTGGGGAGTCTTTTCTGTCAAGGGCCATTTGGATATTTACACTATACACCAACTTATCAGCTAAAAATTTAGCCTGCTGTTAGATTTGCCGACCACCAGGGAAAGCATAACTCAGCCGAATATATGAAAAGAATGTAGATGGCCTTTATTTCAGGGAACCACGGGCTTCCCTTCCCCGGGCAGCAGAAAGACAGGCGTGAAGGAGTGAGCTGCAGAGCAAGAAGAGTGAGGAAGAGACAGGGAAGGAGCCCTTTTAAACTCTCCTTGACGTGGAAGCCAAGATGGGGGTTACCTCGGCCCTTATTGGTGGTGGTGGTGTGGGGGTATGGGTCTGTGCCTCTCATTGGTGCAACAGTGTTCTCACCGCCTGAGGGGCCTGCCAGAATTCCACCATCCATTCTGGGTTTGGTTGGAGGCAAACTCTGCCCTGCTCTGGTTACTGTGGTAGCCACCACCATGGACTCAATAAAATTGCAGCCCCACCTGTTCTTGACAGACTAAATGATTCATACAGCTCGCAGGCAGGACATTCCTCACCCTGCCTTCTATGCTATCAAACCACATGCATTATCTGACACTAAAGCTAATCAAAGCAAGCCATATGCACCAAACAAACAAACAAAACACAATGTTTTTAGAAGAAATTAAAGATGTTGAATCAATGGGTAAGGTTCCTGGATGTGAAAATCAATGTTCTAAAACTACCAATTTTCCCAAGAATAATCTGTAGGCTTGACAAAAAGCCAATGTAAGGATACAAGAATAGTTACATTAACAGGTGAAAAGCATCCAGGAAGTTGTAAAATAATGAATATCAAGACCAACTCTCGAGTTTTACTACAAAGAATGGAAAACAGAACACAAAACCAGACCCATGTATCGTCAGGAGACAGGCAATACTGCCAAAGTAAAGGCCAGTTGTCTTTTTATCAGAAGCCAGATGAACTGACACAAGGTGGAGGAAAAACACCATGGATAAAAAAGTAAAACCAAGTAGCTTACAGACCTAAAGAAGAAGGGACCAGCAATACAATTTTTAGAAAAAATAATCTTTGAAATGCTGGAATAGGCAAAGATTTCAAAAACTGCTAGTCACAGAAGAAAAGATTAACAAATTAAACTATATTACAATGAATAGCTTGCATATCAAATGTATCACCAAAGTAAAAAAAGAGAATCTGAAAAAGGACTTTTGTCCAATATGCATTAAAAAAAAAATCAATATAATGGATACTATCCCAAAATAACGAAAAAAAAAGAAAACTTAAACACATATTTCACAAGATCCCACTGACCAAAATTTTCAAAAAATTGATTCAATTTAATTAGTCACTTAAAGCCACAAAGTGATATTACTCTTTACTAATTATGAAAAAGATGGCGAGGCTTGGCACAGTAGCCTGGTGATTAAGGTCCTCGCCTCGCTTGAGCATATGTGTGTCAGTTCGTGTCCCGGCAACCGCACTTCCCATCCAGCTCCCTGCTTGTGGCCCAGGAAAGCAGTGGAGGACGGCCCAAAGCCTTGGGACCCTGCACCCGTGTGGGAGATCTGGAAGAAGCTCCTGGATCCTGGCTTGGGATCCGCTCAGCTCTCTCCACCTTGGGGAGTGAACCAGAAGACAGAAGATTGTTTTCTCTTTCCTTTTCTCTGTAATTCTGATTAATTAAAAAAAAAAGGGGGGGGGGAGATGGAAAACATCATGTTGGAAAAGCATGACACAGAATTTGCATAAATAAACTGGTACAATCACTTGGGAATAGAATTCACGCTATCTTCTAAAACTGGCCATCCAATACAGCAATTTTACTCTTGACAGACCCAAAACAGAAATGTATGCATCTGTTTATCAAGCAAATAATGTGTACTAAATGTTTAGAGCAGCGGTATCTGAAAGAATCTCAAAATGCCAAGTTATGGCTTAGCTACATAATGGAACAGTATCGAATAAAAATGAGCCACCTACAATTTATACAAGATCCAGGATGACTCTTATGATGCTGAAAGTCCAAAAATGCTCAAAACTAACCCAGTTATTATAAAAGTGCTGCGGCGAGTTGGTGCTGACTGGCAGAGAGAAAGGTGACCTTTGGAGTAGTGGATGTTCCTCCACCTAAGTGCCAGTTACACAGGTACTCGCTTACAGAGATTTAAGAAAAAAACCAACATTCACTACAGCATCAAAACCATCAGCAGTGTACAAACCATTAAAATTGGATGTTGAAGACATTTAAGTACAGGCTTATGTCAATCCATTTCACTTAATGGCTTAAACACCTACTTCAGCCATTCTTTCACTGTGTCCTGTTGGCTAGACATCAGTACTTACAGTAAATTTAGCTCTTTCTTCCATCACCTCGTAACCCAGGATAGTAGGAGTGGATGGTCTCTCTTCCCAATTCACTGTTTCAGGATTTTGTTCTTCAGTCTCTTTAGGTCGAGCAGAATATTCAATGGAAGACTCTGCACCTGTAAATTTAGTCTTAATGAGGGGACTCCGACAGACAGACGGAGTACTGTCCATTTCATCAGCAAGAGCTGTCTGCTTGAAATTACCCGTATTCATGTCTTCTGTCTGGCCTTTGGAAGAACTTGAACTTGTTGAGATACTGCCAAAGGAAGAACTTCTCTGATTCCTGTTGGCTGAGAAACTGGGAGCGGAGTTTCCCAGGGGCATGGGAACCGGGACATAAGGGGTGGCCATCTTCTCGTGGCCGCTGCAACATACAGCCAGCACGCTGCTGAGTCCAAGCACTCAGAGGTCAACCAAGAAGCAATCCATTACGTCTTCTCAGCAGTTCATTATCTAGAGTCAGAACACATTGAAAAATTAGTTTTTAATCTGGAACATAATCCACAACAAAACAAAATAGTCTTAAATTTGTGACAGGCTATTTTCTGAAAATATGCTGGAAACCCCTTCCTTCAACGCCAATCCTAAGAGCTCCATTTGCAAGGTAAAAAAGGAACAAAACTGTTCAAAACCCTTATTCTTGACTTTCATGTTATGTTAACCTTGCTGCCCACTTACTACTTTGCCAGGGGGCAAAAGAACGAGAGAATTATTCCCACTATCTTTTAATTAGTGAAGCCCTAAAGAATCAGATTAACAGAATCAGAAACTTGCATATTATGTGGTATCCAACCTTCTTCAAGGAACATTAAATACAACTCACAGATTGGATGTGTATTCCAGCCCACGCTATGGGGTAGCAGGTTACCAAGCCACTGCGGTGCTGGTTCCCATGTGGGCACCGATCAGAGTCCCAGCTGCTCCACCCACAAAGCAGCTGCTCCCTGCTAGGGTGCCAGGAAAAGCAGCTGAGGATCGCCCAGGCGCTTGCACCGCCACACCTGACGATGTTCCTGGCTCCCGCTTTGGCTTGGCCAAGATCCAGCTGTTGAAGCAGTTGGGGAAATAAACCAGCAGATGGAAGATCTTTCTCTGACTCTCCGCCTTCAAATAATCTTTTAAAGCAAATGCATTTTTAGGGCCCGGCGCGGTGGCGCAAGTGGTTAAGGTCCTCGCCTAGCACCATATGGGCCATATGGGCCCTGGTTCTAATCCCGGCAGCCCCGCTTCCCTTCCAGCTCCCTGCCTGTGGCCTGGGAAAGCAGCTGAGGATGGCCCAAGGCTTTGGGACCCTGCACCCACATGGGAGACCCGGAGGAGGCTCCTGGCTTCAGATCGCATGGCATCGACCATTGCGCTCACTTGGGGAGTGAATCATCCACCTTTCCAATAAAAAATAATAAATTGTAAAGCCAGATACACAGAGAGGAGGAGGAACAGAGAGGAAGATCTTCTGTCCGTTGATTCACTCCCCAAGTGATCACAATGGGTGGTGCTGAGCTTATCCAAAGCCAGGAGCTAGGAACTTCTAGGTCTCCCACATGGGTGCAGGGTCCCAAAGCTTTGGGCCGTCCTCAGCTGCTTTCCCAGGCCACAAGCAGGGAGCTGGATGGGAGCGGGGCTGCCAGGATTAGAACCGGAGCCCATATGGGATCCTGGCGCGTTCAAGGTGAGGATTTTAACCACTAGGCTATCGTGGCGGACCCAAATCAAGTGTATTTAAAAAAAAATCAACTTGATAAGTAACAAAAGCAATTGAACATTAAACTCATACCTAGTAAGATTAAGTGATTAAAGGTTTATTACTCACATTTCCAGGTTAATGCTGCTTTGCAAACAAAACAAACCAGTATTCTTAAAAAACCTTCCTCATACTCAACCTACTATCAAAAAGACTAGTACAGCTTCCATCAGAAAATATCTTCCATCACAACTAAAAATTGGTAATTTCCCCCAGTACTAAAGACATAACGAATTGTAAGGACCAAGACTAACAAAATGACAGAATTCACCACAATGGGTCCGACCACCTAACTTCATCTGCATTTACTCTAACGGGTGAGAAAGGGAAGACAGGCGGCCCAGGACTTGGAAAGACGTTGAAACAGGACTTTTCACTCAGCACGTGGCTCTGGACAACCCTCCCCATTAGCAACACTTGAACTGCTAGAAACTGCTGGAAACACTAGAAACTTGAACTGCTGATTCACCACTCCTCGGTTCAGCCCGACGGCTTTTCAAAGCAGAAAAAAAAAGTAAATAAAAGTTTGAGGCTTGAACCTTCTCTAGGCCTGCGGGATCGCCCTGCCCTTGGCCACTCAACTACCTGAGGCCGCCAGGTGAGGCACACCTGGAGGAGGGTGGCCTGTCCACACCGCCGCCCACGGCTCGGTGCTCACGCCGGGGTGGCCGGCCGCCCAGGGCAACCTGCTCCGGGGCACCGCGGGCTGAGGGGAGACCGCGGCGGCCGGAGGGAACGGAGAAAGCCGGGCGCGAAGGGCAACGGGCTTGGGCTCCGTGGGCTCCCGGGGCGCCTTCCCGCCCGCCCGGGGATCCTTCCCGCCGGCCCGGGGATCCTTCCCGCCCGCCCGGGGATCCTTCTCGCCCGCCCGGGGATCCTTCCCGCCCGCCCGGGGATCCTTCCCGCCCGCCCGGGCTCCCTCTCGCCGGCCCGGGGATCCCTCCCGGCCCCCGCACCGACGCCCGGCACCGGCCCAGCCCGCCCGGCACGGCTTACCGGCGTCCACTCGCCGATCCCGCGCCAGCGCGCTTCCCGCTGACGGCTCCTAAGGACGCCCTCCGGCCGCAGCCCGTCCTCTCCGCCCACAACACGGCGCCGTCCCGTGACTCCAGGCTCACACCCCGAGCTCTCCCCGCCTTCCCCGGGTCGCCGGGCGCAGGAGCCCCGCGAGCAGGAGGAGAAGGGCGGCCCGGCCTCCCGGCAGTGACGTCGCGGCCTAGGCACCAGCCCCGGAGCCGCTGACTGCAAGGCTTCGCCTTCAGCTGACTGGGAGCGGGAAACGGAATCTAGTTCTGAGGGAGCAAGCACGTTTTCTCTGCCTTGGCTTCACGTCTGAAGTCACGCTTTTGCGAAATAGAGGCTGTGGTACGGTTTGTTCGGCGGGGAGTGAGAAGACTACAATTACCAGCAGGCACCACGAATTAACGTGCTCCGGTTTGCCGCGTTGCATCATGGAACTTGTAGTCATCACCCGCTTGAGCCGGAAAATAGATTTCCAAAATTAGCAGCGCTGTGGGGGATGACAATCGATTTGAAGAGGAGAGATCTGCCCTACGTACGTAATTCATGAGTCCTCATTGGCAGGTAGTCCTTCAAGTTCTTTAGAATGTTCCACTCATCCGGGGAGCAATTTTATCCCAAGCGAGGCAATATTGAGCCCGTTACACTTGGGCAGCTGAAGACCTACAGAGAAGGCAGTTAGGAAGACCATGCCTTGATATTTAGAGACTGAAATTCAGACTAGTGTTCAGGCCTGCTCACCATCAGAACGGTGCTATTGACTGTGGAACTTGTGAATTGATGTAGGAATTTCAATGTAATCATAAGGAGGTAATATCAGATGTGCTGCAATGACGGTTTTGATTTGAGAGAAATTATCTTATGAGCATGAAATTCACCTAAAAATTGATTTTCTAGGAAGAGTGGTCTTAGAAACACGAGTAGCTGTCAGTAGAAGTTTGCCTTTTGGATCTTGTGATGTCAGTTCTGTCACTGAGTTCAGTAGGTTAATAAGGGTAAGAAAGAGGAAAGCCAAGGCAAGAAAAATAAGTCTTGGGATGTCAGCCTGTTTGGGAACTGGGCTTCAGGTGATAGCAAAGAGCCCTCTTAGGAGGAAAATTTGAAGGTCAGGAGACCAAGGAACACTAAACCTTAAAGAAGTAAGCATGGGGCCTGGTGCAGTAGCATATCCCGGCTGTTCTACTCCCATCCAGCTCCCTGCCTGTGGCCTGGGAAAGCAGTCGAGGACGCCCAAGGCCTTGGGACCCTGAGCCTGCATGAGGGACCCAGAAGAGTCTCTGGGCTCCTGGCTTCGGATTGGTGCAGCACCAGCCGTTGCAGTGACTTGGGGAATGAACCAGCAAACAGAAGAGCCTTCTCTCGGTGTCTCCTCTGTGTAATTCTGACTTTCCAATACAAATAAATAAATCCTTAAAAAAAAAAGTAAGGATGCATCATATGTAGGAGGAGATACGATGATTTCACTTAGTGTAATGAGATGAGGCCATTGAAATTTATGAATCATAAATTGCTTTACAAGTTACTGACTGAAGCGCGACAGAGGACACATACTACACCTTTGCTTCGTTTCCTGTAGTACCTTATGCCAATAAATGTCTAGAGTTGACTTCTAAAACATCAACTTGTAATGTACTACCTCAAGACATTGATGTAATCATAAAATATTTTTGTCTTTATTTTTAAATATTTAGAATCATACAGAAAAATACAAGGAAAAAAATCTAAGGAGCACACTTACACTTAGCAGTGTTTTTAGCATTTTGCTGTATTTGTCTCATATCTGAACAATATATACATATACATACTATGTTTTGAAAGTAAGGGCATATGTATTAATATAATGTGAGATTCATGACACAGGTCATGAAATTAAGAAACAATGGCACACTATTAGGTGAAAAGTATAATTCAGTGAAGAAAATATTTGTAAATATATTGCAAATAATGTGGCATCCACACATTTGAAAAGTGTATTACACAAATGAGAGGAATGTAATATTTGTCTTTCTTTGTCTGATTTGTTTGACTTAATGGAACGGTCTTCCATTCCATCTATTTTGTTGCCGGTGCCAATATTTCATTCATCTTTGGTTGAATAATATTCTATGGAATATTTGTATTCTATATATACCATGTCTTATATCTGTTTATGAACATTTATGTGACTCCACATGTTTATTGTTGTGAATTAAAATGCAATAAATATGGGAGTATAGGTATATCATATGTTGATTTCATTTCCGTTGGATGTATTCCTAGAAATGACTGGGTTTTAGAATAAGCCAATTTTTAGCTTTTTGAGGCATCTTTGTAGTGCTTTCCATAATTGTTGCTTTGCTTTCCCATCAACAGCATGTTATGGTACCTTGTTCTTCACATCCTTCCAATATTTGTTATTTTTTTTGCTTTTTTGGTAGTAGCCATTTTAGCTGTGTTGAGATTTGTGGTTTGTTTACGTTTTTCCTGATGGCTACTGATACTATTTTTCTACTTTCTATTTGTTTGTTGGTCATTTGTGTGAAAGACAGACTATTTTGTGGTTAATCAGAGTAAAATTGATCACATTATCATAATTTGTATTTGATGCCTAGCTTTTTCTTAATGGTTTGTTGTGATTTAGCTCTGGATGCCTCTGTATAGTTCCCACAAATTGAATTGTTTATATTTCAATTTTATATCTTTTTTATTAATTTAATTTAATATAATCTATAGATCCCTGAAAGGACATTTTGATCTCACTAAAGATGTAATTTTATACAAAATAATGTATGTATCTGGGTAACTGAATGCAGAAAAAATGGATTTGTATCTGGGAGGCAACTCTAACAGGCTTCCCCAATTCCAGCATGTTTCGCTTCTAAGAAGTAACTCTTGTAACATAGATGGTTTATTTATTTATTTTGGGGTCATAGTTGGTTGTGTTTGAAGAGGACATCTGACCTAAATTATGTCCAACAAATGTTCGTTCCTAGAATTAAACTGTAGGGAGGAAAGGAAAGATACAGGTTGAGAGTCACTGGAGCTAACGGCAGACTAAATTCTGTGTTGTGAAAGCATGGGGTGTTTTTCTTTTTAAAGATTTTGGAGCTGATCTGGTCCTTTCATCTCCACTTCCCCATGAAACCCACAAGACACCCCATTATCCCTTAACTAGATAAGTGTTCTTTCCCCTTATGTGTTGCCACAGTTGGTTCTTTTGCCCCAAACCAGAAATAAAAGTAACACAGCAAGTTGACAAGGCAAACCTAAAATGAATAGGAGACGCTGATGAAATGCCTCCCTGGCTTTTGCAAATAGCTTTTAATAATTTATGATCTAACTTGCTGTCTGTTTATAATGTAAAGAAACAAATCAGTAATTTATGACTGAAATGACACAAAAAAACCTTCATTAATTATTTTTATTTCATGCACTTAATTATTAATGTACATTGGTTTCTATTGTCAAATGTTTCTTTAACCGTACTATTTGGAATTTGTATTCCCCTGCCCTCTATTTTATTGTCATGAGATTGTGAATCCAAAGAAAAATAAAAAATAATCTTGTTTTTGGAGTAATTGGAGGTGCGTAAAGTGGCAGCAGGGTGACATGACAGCTGAATTTATCACAAATGAGCCCTGACTGGTGAAATTTCCTAAGTCCAGTGTGGGAAATATGTGACATACATAATGTCACAGAGATGACACTCTTTTTGCTTCTTATTGTTATTTTTATTATAAAGTCAAATCTACAAAGAAAAGGAAAGAGAAAGATTTTCTGTCCATTGGCTCATTTCCCAAATGGTTGCAATGGCAAGAGCTAAGCTGATCTGAAGCCAGGAACCAGGAGCTTCTTCTGAGTCTCCCATGTGTGCATGTAGAGTCCCAAGGATCTGGGCCATCCTTGACTGCTTTCGCAGACCAAGGCACGGAGCTGGATGGGAAGTGGAGTGGCCAGGACACAAACCTGTGCTCGTATGGGATGCAGGCTCATGTAAGGCAAGGATTTTAGCTTGTAGGCTTCCGTGCCAGGCCCATTGACAATCTTCAGTACAGTTAGCACTGACTAGTGATTTTCCTCACATTATGTAAGGAAAGTTTTGCAAGCAGATAAGGTTGTCCTACTAAGAACAAGAAGAGCAAATTCTTCCTGAGATTACAGAGAGGACCATGGAACTCAATACATGATGAACATAAAGATAAGCCACATGTGATAGCTAAGAATCAAAGACTGGACAACTGGCCTGAGAATTAAGTCATTCTTCAGTCCCAGACTAGTAACTTCTTGCTGTGTACTGGAAGACATCAGGGTTGGAACACTTCTATACATTGTTGTACCTATGCATCCTTCAGCTTTCCAGAATGTGTAGTCACTGATATGTCCTTAATTAGCATTGGTTTGTCAGAAGCCTACACCGAGTTTATGCATGGCGATGAGCTGCACTGGGCCTGATGGAGCTGAGAGGTTCTGGAGATGTCAAGGAGGAAGGCAGGACACACCAGGCAAAAGCAAAGACTTGAGAGAGGGCTGTTATGGGCAGTTAGGAGACACACCTTGCTGGACCGGAGGTGGTGCTAGGGTATGCTGAAAATAGATGAGCTCCTGTATATCACTCAAGTCTGCCTTAAATATAATCTTAGCAGTATTACTTGGCTACTCTGCTCGGATAGAATTTATCCGCTCCTTTATGATTGAATTCAATTTGGTATATGTGACAGTCATTGCACTTTATTGTGAGTTCTTATTTATTCGTGTTTTCTGAGGACCAGGATCTTATACTAGATCTATCTGCTTATCTATGTATGTATGTATCTATTTTGCTGAGATTACTTATGTTTTTAGCTTAAATAAAAATTGTACAAATGTATGTATGGGTACCAAGTGATGCTTTTTTTTGTTTTCAGTGGGCAAAACAAGATTTATTAAGTCTGAAACTTCCTGCTGCCATGATCAGGAGGGAGGCTTTCAAGAAAGAAAAGACTGAAAATCTGGTCCAAGTGGAACAGCAAAAGTAGAGCAGTGTCTTTTCAGTAGGGAGGGTGGGTAGAAGGCTTGCTTTTGCCTCACGGCAGCTGTTGGGCAGCTGAGGAGTGCTGCTCCTCGTTATGGTTTTCTAGTTTCATTATGAAAATAGCAAGGAAGCAGTCATTCCCCTTTTCTGAGCTCTCAGCTTATCAGGAGAATGTGAAGTTACCTATGCCAGCCCTTAAATAGGCCAGTAGCTTTTTAAAAAATATATAGGC